TAGTCGACTTACAAGAGGGAGCGCAATTTCATCTGAAATCAGCCCAATTGTGGTTGTTCGCAAAATGCTCGATTAGAAATAATATTGGGACATTATTCTGATATATAGCGACCCTCCCACCCTTGTGGCATTTGTGTCTCGAATCGCTGTAGCTAAGAAATAGTGATCTTTGCAGTTAATCTTGATCAATATCGTCATTTCTATAAGCGTCCACAAACAAATAGTAATATCACAGCTAAAGTGACCATTTTTAGCAACCACTGCTACAGATCTCCTATTTGTGAAGAACTCCAACAAAATCTCCAAGATTCTTCTACAGATATTAATTCAAGTCGTTTTGATAAATGACATTACGTTTTTGCAACCGTTTGAACACGGATTATCGATTTTTGCACTCGCCTCATTACCAATAATTCATCCTCTACAGCGATCCACCGGGTTAATATGAGGACACAGTGATTTCAATACTCTCTCCATTCTTAAGTATTGTTTCTAGATGAATTCTTCTTCATCTTCGGCTCAATATTCTGATTCAATAGAATCGGCCGTAGCCCCAATTATTCAAAAATGAAATAAGAGATAAACAAATGTCCTGTGTGTTCCATGCAAAAATTTACTGAGAACACAAATGACACAGGTACACGTGAGAGAAAAGACATTTGGGAGGAAGGAAAAGAAGGAAGATGATCGCCCAAAAAGGTTTTCCAGGAATTGGAGATATGTTGGGCCTGTAGCGGAGACCTTACTTCTTTGCCGCAAATGCATTCTTGCCCGGATCCTCCTTCAATGTCACGGTTCGATTGAATACCAACTAAAAAAATAAAGAAGGTTCAATTTATTTTGGTATAAAATTCGTTCAAGACAACGGTCATAATAAAATTTAGTACAATTAAGATGGTCAATCATAGGCCACATAGGTTTCCTCGCTATACCAATTCAAATATCATTATGTTAGCGAGTACTTTAACAGAAAATTAACAATAATGCTTCAATTAGTCTCAAATTAACACTGTTCACTCTGGATAACCGAATTTAAGAGAATGGTAATCCGTAGCTTGCTTTAAGAGAAGCAAGTAGCTCTCTTAACCAGCGCGCTTAGTTAAAACTCTTCAAAAATTGAGATGACAAACGATCCGTTGGCCACAGTGTCGAACTCGTTGTTGGAATATGAATTTTACAATCTTAGGGAATAGTTGGTACAGTGAGTGAAATAATACACAAGACATTCCTACAACTGACCAGAACTACGCATGTATCTAAACGAAAATTATTCCAGCGTGAAGGCGAGACTTCAACCCCCCCCCCCCCCTATGTACACCATCGTGCTCGTCTGCCAAGTCAGAGACCACGTGTTTGACTTCCATCGGGACACACAGAGGGTGGCATAATTCGAATCTGTCAGAATGGAGATCCTATGACACATCACTCTACTCAAGATAAACTTCAAAAACTCCAAACTTTACTATGGAATTTTATCTCAAAAAATTCTCCACATTCTTCAAAAATTCCATCAGGACATTCATTTGTTGGCGAATATTTAGTAATAGCTCATAAATTCGAGTACTAGGAATTAATGTCTAAGTTAAATGGGTGCAACCAAGCTCTCGAAATGGCGGGTAAATGCCGCTTTATAATTGGCATACACACGCAAGCCGCTAAAAGTTAGAAAAGCCAACTCTTAGGCTTATTAGGTTATATTGAGTGTAGCAAATTTTAGTTGTAGCAGTGCGCTCATGCAAAAAAAAGGAAAAACATTCATTCAGTACGAAATCTTTGAAGTATATACAACTCGACGTTGAAAGAGACCATAAATGTCTCAATAAAGTTCTGTCATCAATAAATAAATTTACCAAGTTAAGTTAAAGTCATCATTGGTTTATAGTTAAAAGATGAAAAAAAAACAGAAAATCTCAAGGCCTTTCGAAAAAAGCATTAGTAAATTGCTTTCGCAAATATAAAAAAGAGACACCGCAAAATTTGCTTAGTTAGCATCTGTGGTGGAGAGAAGTCTCATTAAGGCTTCTTTGTGAAAAGCTCTGTTCTTTATTTGTCAGAAACCAAAAAAAGAGAGTATTTTCCCACTCCGCCCACTGGGTGTAAACCAACAGGCATCGAATTCATTGCCTCCGACCGCAAAACGAAAAGGTTAGCTAGAGTTCCGTTAATTAGTCAGAATTTCAGCTTGCCAGTCTTAAAGATGAATACATTTTCCCATGCTCCTTGATTACTATGCAGTTGGTGGCGGTCCTAGCCTAGATTCTATTCCACCTTACTTTAATAATGTCAGGTTCTTCTTTTGACGACTGGAACCCAGTTGCAAAATTTGTAGATGCGAAGATGGAATTGAACCATCCGCCTAATGGCTTAAACTCCCCGTGCACTTTATCACTTAGGCGTATTAAAACCGGTTTGTGAAATTAATAATAAAGCAACTGGGTATGAGTCCTCGGTCAGATGAAAACACGATATTGCAAGTAATTGGCAACCAATCACCCGCAAAATCAACCATTAGATGGACTTATCTATCCCTCTCAAAATTATCTCTAGATAGGCCATAACTCTTTTAGAAAATTTAAAACCACAAAGTTAACTCTCATCAAACTTCAAAAAATTTCCCTGACCTGCCATGGAATAATCGTAAAAATAAACAATAAATCCCCTAATAAAGTACACGAGAAATCTAAATAGCCTGACAAAACTGGTCCAAAAGCCTGAAACGCTTTTTACTCAGCGAGCCCTGATTACCACCTTATGATAAGATTCAAATGGGTAAAATTAACTCTCACGTGGTCAGGTTCGCTATCTTGATCAACGGTAAAGAATCCGATACGTTCGAATTGGAAGCGACTGTACGTGTTGGAACCCTTCACAGATCGTTCAATCAGTGCCTCATCCGCCACAACCAGGGATTTCTAAAAGATCAGAATTTGCATAAAATGCCAACATGATTCAATACGTAATTAGTAGACAAGGTAGATTCCCAGACACACGTACCGGGTTGACTGCTGCCATAAATCCCCCAGGACAATCTTCAGGGTTCTTTTCATTGAATCTGAACCATAAAAATTAAGGCGTCAAGTAGAGATAGGAATGACAACTGTAAACTCAACCACGATGCCACTGGAATAATATGGCAATGTGCGAAGAGAAAGAGAAGTGTTAACTCGCAACTACGATTTTCAATAACAAAAAGGGAAGGCACTTACAGTCGATCATAGAGACGAAGTTCACACTTGAGAGGATTGGAGACCCAGTGAATGAAGGCCTTCGGTTTATTCGTCGTTGAAATTGGTTCAGCCTCGACCATGATCTCTCGAACGTTATTCTCTGCATCCTTAATGGAAACAAAGCACAGTGGTGAGTGGAAGAACAGGCGTTTGACAAGTAGCATCATTAACATGATAAAGTAATGCGTTTCTTACCACATGTAGATCCCCACAACGAAGAACTAAACCACCATAGCGAATACCAACGGGCTGGGTAGGCGTTAAACGGCGGAAACCCGGTACAGGATCGCGCAGGAAGTCGGACCTCTCTATGTAGAGTTCTTTAGAAAGAACCACAGTACGGGTAGTGCTATTTTCATCAGCGGGAAAGTCAGGTACTGTTAACTACAAGGGAAAAAAGTATATTTAGGTGCATCTGATTGGGACTAAGTGCTCTTACTCATTGGAAAAGACAAACATGAGGAGATAAGAACTTCCAATGCCTACTTTGCACTTTTACTAATGGTAACAATGATAAGATGGACACATTGTTTCCATACTTTGTCCGAGTTCCGCAAAAGGGTCCCACAGATAAGGAAGAACCAGAAGGTCACGTATTCAAACAGACAAACTCCCTCATGGCATTCAATCTCAGTAGCGGAAACAGGAATTACACTGGATTTTATACAGAATATAAATTGCAACTTGTTGATACTCAATGTTAACATTTAGCTGCCTTAATTAAGCCACAATGTAATGATGCAATTAACAAATTGCATAAAGATACTGTTTATGGGGAAAAAGGCTTTTAATCAAGAAGACTTCATCTGAAAATGATAAACCAAGGTCTAACCAAATAAATATGAAAGGAGCTTTTATTAGATTATAGCTATTCAAGCGTGAAGAAAAAACTGACAGACAGTGTAAGCAGTTAAATCCCCGAAAATAAGTGCGCCCTTTCTGCTGATTTATTGTGATTTTCTTATTAAGCGACATGCTCCTAAGGCATTAAGAAGCTTACTGCTATTACGCAAATAAGAAGGTTGATTACATGTGTGATTGCATAGTGAACTTACGGCATGACAAAACAATATCTATCTTCCTAGACCCAAGTCTGTTAGAGGTAGGCTGCAATATTGTCGGGACAAAGACTGAAGCACACGCCTCCACGCAAAGTAGGTCAGTGGGGAAGCCGAACTGTAACCTCAGAGTGGCCATCGGCAAAATCAGGCTGCATAGATATCCGTTACTACCTCTTATAGGTGGACATGATGGAAAATGGCCACCCACTTTCATTATTTTTAAAATTTGTGTTTCTCAATTCCTATTTCCACTGTATAAGCCCAATGCACCCTACTTACAAGTCTATATGACCCAAAAATGAGACACTCTGTTTCCCCTACAAATCTTTATTTTTATACTTATACACTACTAGCAGCGAGGCAATATATTTTTTAATGTGAGTACTCAAGACGTTTCTATCTGGAGAATAGCTAGACCTCAGGCATGACTATTACACGCTTAGGTAGGCATTAAATTCCTGTTATGCAACCCTACGTTGACTTGGTCGAATCGTTTAATGAGCATTTGCTACCATTTGAGTGAGAATTTGCCTTAGCGCGAATGACTTTCGCTTTCTTCTTGTGTAAGCTCCCCACAAAGCACGCCAATGCCACTGCAAATAGGATTTTTCACTAAGTTGACAACAAAGTAACATCCTAGCTATTAAAGCATACGCACCTATTACAACTATGTGCCGATATCGGTTGTAAAATTATTCGCGAAAATCAGCTTCCCATTCATGCTTAACTGACTTACTAAAAATAGTTGACCCTAAGGATATTCTAAAGTACGTAAAAATCAAGATTCGTTTGAACTCAAAGCTCCGCTTCACTACTTCTCAAACCCAATCACTAAAATTAGATCCCAAATCCGTTTTGGAACAACCATTTTATTGCACTCATGCAAGGATCATAAAGGTTCAAAATTAAAATCAACGCCAAAAACAAGCACAACAAAATCACTGAATTCGGATAGTAAACGGATGCTTTACTAACGCCTACTAATGGTCATAAAAAGTGGGAATTTAAATGTCAAAAACAATTAGCCGCTTTTAAGTTCCCTCCTTTTCATAAATACCGGCTATTATCAGTGTTACGCTAGGATACATGACGACTGAAGTATGAAAGACTTCCACTTGCCTTTCTAATCTGTTATGATTGATCTAGGTAGGACATTATCTCAAGAATCTCCTGGGACACGTGCTTCACAAAACGTCGCACTTACCTCAACAAACTCCTTATCTCCATACAATTCCGTCCAGTTTTTAATGGTAACTTTCACAGGATCCTCGACACACATGCGTCTGGGAGCATGTTTGTTGAGATAATCACGAACGCAAGCCTCCAGTGCCGAGGGATCAAGTACGGTCTGGCTCATGGTGACACCAATCAGCTCACAGAATCGATTAATTGCTTCAGGTGGGAAGCCACGTCGGCGTAGAGCAGTGAGAGTGAAGAGTCTTGGATCATCCCAATCAGCGACAATACCGGAAGAAACTAGTTTGAGGATTTTTCGCTTAGAAACCACCGTGTAGTTGAAGTTTAAACGACCGTATTCCCATTGAACCGGACAATAGATATCAAGAGCGTTACAAAGCCAGTAGTATGAAGAACGCCTGAAATAGAGAACGTGGGTAACGTGAACAAGCATTCTCTCACCCTTTCAAGTGTACAAAAGAGCTGCAAAAAACACGCTTCATGTGAAGGTTGGCTCTATTCATTGGGCAAAATGGAAACCTTTTATCTCATTTTTACATCTATACACCAGACCAGCATTTTCTGTTTAGCTTTATAATTAGAACTTCGATGCTTCATTAAGTAGCTAACTTCCTAGAAAGATTAGCACAACAGGACACTTTAAATGAGAGTTTACGTAAAGAAATGGTAGAGATACTGAAAATGCTAATATCAAAAGATGCATAAACTTCAGCCTCAAATCCACCCCCCCCC